TCATCCAGCCTCACCCCTGCTATGAATGAGGGCAGCCTTGCCTCTCTCTCACCCACTGTGAAACCTGTCCTCACTCCACTTGCATGCTGTGTGGACATTCATTCCTAGGACCCTGAGAGTATGGACTTGTCTTGGTCCCAAAGGCACGGTCTCTGGTCATTCTACAGAAAACAGTGATTGATTTCCCTAGGATTGAATCCCACTAATCTTGTGACCCTCCCTAAACTCTCTGAGCCTCAGTTTCCTCATCAAAATGAGGATAGTAATACCTGCTCCAGAGAGGTATGAGGATCCAGTAAGTAAACAAGGAGACACACTTACAGGTCACTGAGTACACCTTCTCCACCCTTCCCTCCTGGGGGACAACTCTCGCATCCTGACAGTGAGGTGAATGAGAATGAGGAACATCTTAACACTAATTTCTGCCTCAAGGTTGAGCACAGGGCAGGATGTAGGTTCAAAATCTTCCAAATGTTGATGGACCCAGGTAGCCTCAGAGGGAGTAAGTGGAGGCTCTGGGAATGGCTCCTGTGTGGCCCCTCTAATGGCTCCTCCTGTCCCTTGATTTCTAGGCCGAGAGCTGTCTACTGTCCCTCTGGTAGTCCTCCTCCTGAGCGCAAAGCTGCTGCTGGCCATCGGTGTCTCTGCCATCTACGTTCACAGGAAGTGGAGGGCCTGACTGTAAGTTGTGGGGCAGGGAGGGCAGGACACGGTCTGTCCCATAAAGGGGAAGGTCGGTAACAGGGGCCATCCCACAGGTCACACAGGGTCAGGACACACGTGGAGTTAAGAGAAGGTGACACACCTCCCTCCATATGCTCAGGAGTATTGTGGATCCCTCTCAGAGGTTCTCCATCCCAGGAACTGTGTGGGGTCCTGCAGCAGGAGGGCTGGATTAAGGGTTTTCAAAGGGTGTCCACAGAGTCCTAGGGGTCCTGTAGTAGAAGTGGGCGGAGGGAGGCTTATTGAGGGACAGCAGAGTAGGTGGTTTCCTTGGAGACCATCTCTCGATTATTTGAATGCTGGGCTGTATGGAGCTAAAGGAACCCACATTTTAGAGTAATGCTGAGAAGTCCTTGATGCTGCTCTGAGGGCTGTACCTGCTCTGACCCTCTGAGTGACAGAGTGGAAGGGATGGGGAGGGGATCAGGACTTGGGGAGGAAGGCTGAGGTGACAGAGTCCTATCGCAGGGTCAACCTGTCCTCTCACTGCAGGTATCTCAGCAAGAGAACAGCACCGGGGACATAGGAGGCACACAGGGAATGCTTCTGTAATGATGAGCAGATAATTAAATGTGGACATGTTTCCCACAGCTCCTTCCTTCCTTCCCTGCTGTGTGCCACCCCCAATCTCTGCTGCTCCATTCACTCTGTGAGGGGCCCAGCCTAAGAGAAGGAGCCTACCAGAAGCTTCCAAGACTCTGCTCCAAATGCCTCCCCTCCCTGGATACCTGCCTGCTCTCACATTCCTGCTGCTCCTTCTCCCAGTCTTTGATGCCCCCAGAGCTGGATCTTCATACATGGCCCTGAGCAGGGGACATGGGACCTTGCACTGGGGACTGACTCACGACATCTCCCTATAAAGTGAGAAACAAGTCAAATGTACACACATTAGAATATCTCTGATCGATCGCCTTGGGAATTGGCCATAAACTACACACTCATGTCCATGCATCAAGAGTTATTCTGTCTTCTGGATTCCTGTCTACCCCCGACTCCCCAGCCTTTTTGAGTTGCTCTATTTCCTCTTCAGGTCAAATGAACCCCCATTCTGATTTTAAGAAGAAAAATTATTCTCCTTCCCCTTTGCCTAAATGTCCTGCTCCTCAAACCCAGGAAGTTTTTTCTAATCTCTCAGTCATGAAGGCACTCCTTCTTCTATCATCCAGCATCCTTTTCAGCCCTGTTGCTCATGGTACACATGCTGTCAGTTCAAGAGCCTAAGAGTCATCTGTGATTTCTCTTTCTCTTATGTCCCATATTCATTTCTGCCTTCAACATGCTCATGTCCAATGGTGAGATGGCAAATGTTGAACAATTGATTCTCCAAAAGAAGAGAAAAAGTCTTATTTGTAGTGCCTGCCAATTTCTGGGATGTAAACACTCCCCACGTGGCCAACTTCAAGCTACTAACAGTTTAACCACCACCTTGCAAAATTCCTGAAAATGTAGCAGTTTGCTCTTATGAGCCTGTCCAAGCCTTCCTCTGCACACCACTGAGTTATCTCCATAATCTGCACACTTCTCACGCCACCACTACTCCCTGGCCCCAGCCACCATCATCTCTTCCTGGACCATTGCTAGAGTCTCTAGCTGGCTTTCCTGTTTCAACTACAGCAGGTCTTTGGAAATGTGAGTCAAATCCTATCACTCCTCTGCTTCTTCCCCAGAATATCTGCATGCTTCACTCTCTCCCTTCTTTCAAGTCTCTGCTCAAATGTCACTCTATAAAGGCACCTTCCATAAACCACCCTACGTAAAATATAAAATCCTCTCTCACCTGGCATTCCAATTCCTCTTGACCTGATTAATTTGTTTCCTTAGCACTTATTGTCACCTGACATACTAAATATAGGAAGTGCTCACTTTGCTTGGTAGTGCAGGAGTGCAATAGTGAGTGTGCAAACTGAAACCACTGAAAGTGATCTCAATAATCAATGAGATTAGTAATGACTGTGCTGTGACCTTTAAAATATTTTTCATTTTGTTGGAAAATGTCAGTTTTAAATGATTAGGAAAAAGACAAAATAGAAAAACTAATATTTGCTTAGTATACTGTCATTTGAAGATTAGAAACAGTGAGAATTAAAGTGTCTGATTTCTTTGTAAAAACTTATCAAGAGCAGTTTGAACAGTGTTTGCCTTCTTGTTGCATAATTTACGATACAGATCAAGCAGCTTTTCTATGCCTTGGTGAATCATCATACGCCTCTCTAAATTTCGATCAGCTTCTAACATTTATCCCTGTGCTCTCAATGTTGTGAAATCTTGACAGAAATTCCTTTAATTTGAAGTGTTTGCTTGTGTCACTGCCTCAGGGACATTTTCACCCTTTTCCTCACCACCACTTTCTTCATTTATGTGGTAAGTTTGCTGTCACTCAGTTCCTCTGGCTGCACCTCTGGCTTCTTTCTAACAGTATCAGTGTCGTCATTCCCACAGGCAGCTGTTCCTTCTTTGACTCCACTTACATTCTGTTTGCGTTTCACTTCCAGCTTTATCACTTTTCATTTCTTCATTGCACTTTCATCTCTGTTGCCCATTCCCTTTTGCAATAATTTATTTTTGTAAAATGTGATGTGGGTTCATCACTGGGAGAGAAGGAGTCAACCTGACTACACGCTTTGCTGTCTATACATAAACTGAGTAACAGAGTCACAGTGATCAATCACTGCAGACTGTGAAAGAAGTCACGTGATTGGTTACTGATCATGATGAGCATCTGTTAGTTACCTGGTCATTTGTGGAGTAAGAAGAGCTAGCAGCAAAGTTTGTGCTTATGCAAATGCTCAGAGTAAATTTACTGTGGTAATTGTAATTTGAACCATGTGACGGGGACTGATGTTATTTAACTGAGCTGTGGTACCTGAAATTCATGCATATCAGCACCATGCAAAGTGAACCCTGCCTGTGTGTGTGTCTCTTCCTCTAGAGGATGTCCGTTCTAACAGAGAAGGGACTATCTATCTGTATCATCAGATGTCAGAACAGTGACTGCCAAATAGTAGATCATCACATTTTTAAAAGATGAATGAATGAATACTTCATTTAGGATATTAGTTTCTACTAGATGTTGGGTTTCAAAATAAAGTTTCTCTTCATTTGACCATCTGATTTTTGTCTTCTGAAGCCCTTTTGTTAAAGACTACTCTCCCTTCTTCGTGTTTAAAAAGTCCCATCAAAAATTCAACATCATCTTAGCTCAGGGCCGGTCTTCCTCACACACACAAAAAAAAATTCAACATCATCTTGAGGCTGGCACAGTAGCATAGTGGTTAAGTTCGGTCACTCCACTTTGGCAGCCTGGGGTTCACAGATTCAGATCCTGGGCACGGACCTCCGTGCTGCTTATCAAGACATGCTATGGCAAGCGCCCCACATGTAAAGTAGAGGAAGGTGGGCACGGATGTTAGCTCAAGGCTAATCTTCCTCAGCAAAGAGAGGAGGATTGGGAAAAGATGCTAGCACAGGGCTAATCTTCTTCACCTAAAAAAAAAAAAAAGTTCAACATCACCTAGAAAATAAGGAAGTACCAAAAAAAAAAAAAAAAAACCCTCATTGATTGGAGCACATGAAAGTGGTGCAGGAACCAACTGAAAGAGCTCCCGAAGGCCAAAGATGGAACAATTTGAGCAAGAAAATAAAATTGTATTATGTGATGGTCTGAATGTTTGTGTCCCCCTGAAACTCACGTGTTAGAATCCTAAAGCCCAATGTGATCCGGTTAGAAGATGAGGCTGTTGGAAGGTGATTAGATCATGAGGGCTCCATCCTCATCAATGGGCCTAGTGCTCTTATAAAAGAGACCCCACAGCGATTCCTAGCTGCTTCCACCTTGTGAGGACACCATGAGAAATCTGTGAGTAGAGGAGGGCCCTCACGCATCCATGCTGGCACCCTGATTTTGGACTTCCAGCCACCAGAATGGAGAGAAATAAATTTCTACTGTGTAGAGTGTTTTGATATAGTACTCCAGCTAAAACGAAATATGGATAAACTATGAACTTTGGTTAATGATAATGTGCCAATATGGGTTCATTAATTGAAATGAAAGGACCACACTAATATAAGATGTTAACTAATAGGGGAAACTGTGTGCAGCAGTACATGGAACTCTCTATTGTCATCTCACTTTTTATGTAAATCTAAATTTGCTAAAAAGAATAAATCTATTAAAAAAGCCAACATCTTCTACGCAGCTGGATCTCTGCTTCTTGCACCCTCTAGGGGAACAGCACAAGGAATGTGTGGTGGGGAGACTTCTGTGTTAATATACCCAAGTTTCATCTCACTTGCCAGGTCTGAGGTTCCTTCTCTTCCTTCCTCTGTCCTCTGCCAGAGCTCACCCCAGACCCGGGCACACAGAGATCCCAGAGGAAGCTGCTTCTCAGTCCCCCAGGATATTCATCCTAAACTTCTCCAATTAGTAAAGCCCAGGTCAGACCAAGTGAGGTTGGAGAACTTTGGACAGCTGGGTGAGGATGAAGTAGCTTTGAGGATATAACTGGGGGAGTTAATACACGTCCTGAGTCCAAGGATTCCCACCTGGAAGACGTTCTGAAGAGGCTGGTGGATGCTGTGATGCACCAGGCTGGAGAAGATAGCAGTCAGCTGTCAGCCTTCTTTGGCATTGCCTCAGCTGAGGAGAGCCTCCTTGCCCAGGGTCATGCCTGATAACATGCTACATCCAATGACTCATCAACATGGTGATATAAAGGCCCAGCCTTCTCACTCCAACTCAGCACACTTTGAAGGAACATCCTAGCACCAGAGCTCCATGGGAGGTCAGCTGAGGACTTCGTTGAGACTTCATTGCTGCTCAACTTCTCGTTCTGTCCTGTCCTGCTCCTTCTCCAACCTTCCACAGATATTGATCTTAAATGTACTCTCTGAAAAATGATTTGCTTGTTAGTCTTCATCTCAGAGTCTGTTTCCCAGGGAACACAACTTGGGACAAAGAGGCTGTGTTGAGAATGAGAAGAAGTGGATATCCCTTTGTTTCTAGGGGCCAAGCAGTCAGGGAAGGAGGGATTGTTTATACTACCACGTATCATAGACCATATAGTCTTACTATGCTAAGCACAATGAGAGTCCACAGTAGTGTTTATATAAGAAAGGGTGTAATCAGATCTGTGTTGTCAAAGACCCTCTGGGTGAAGTAGGAGGAAGAGATGACATGGGGCACAAGAAAATGGGGTTAGCATAGTTAAGAGGTAATTGTTTTCATTCAGACAATAGATAATGCTGTAGATGGAGAAATAGATTCAAGAGGTATTCAGGAGGTAAAACTAACAGGGTCTGGTAGGAGACAGATATGGGTTGATGACTGAGGGTGTAGACCATGGGTCCCTTCTTGGTTTCACCACAAGGGCAGATGATGGGCCTCAGACTGAATAGGGTGGGGTGGGAGAAGAGAATGTTTGAGTGCAGATTCTGAACTCAGTTTTGAACATTTGAGGCATACAAATCAATATTTCAAGGTCAAGGTGTATATAGGTCTGCACGATGGGCCCAAGATTACTAAGCTACCAGAGAATGGATTTAAGATTTGAACCTAGATTGTATCTTGACATCCAGTTGGTTCTGAGGAAGAGGCAGGGGTTACAAGGAAGCAATGGGCAAATGGCCATAGCAGCCAGTGCCTGGCTATGGAGGTTTGGAGATTAAAGGGTCACCAGCCGAATGTGGGCTGAGAGTCCTTTTAGACAACATTTGTGCTTGGGTAGAGCCCAGTCCAGAGTTGAAAAAGGAGGTCCACATGCTGCTTCCGCTCTCTCTCTGAGAGTGTTTCTTCTG